AGAGAGATCACTGGGATCAGCTGAGCCAGGTGGTCCCCATACCTTGATTGCCCAGGTGTCTGGGCCACCCGGGAAGCTGAGGGGAGGCTAGGTGCCTCCGGCTAGTGAGCAAAAATGCGAAGGTTTGCAGAACTGTTTTGAGTCTGGTACCTATGACCTCAGATCTATTTATCTCAGAGCTGCTCTGAAGTCTACCCATTGAACCTTTCAGTAGGTATACAGGGAAAGCACTCTAGGGCATCCATGTCTAGACTAATTGTCTTCTCCCCTGGAGCACGCGCTCACTCTCACACTTGCCCCCACCTCAAACGGGGTTCTGAGACGCTGTCGAGTACCACGAGGTACTGATGACTGTTGCTCTTCTCTGGGGTGGAGAGTAGTTCTCCAAATTTTCCTAATCAGATCATCCCTCCAGAGGATAAATTGATTTGGGGTGTGTTACCATAAACGCAGAAGACCCAGTCCCCAATTGAAAAGAAAACGCCTTGTCCACAGGCTGTTCATTACCAATAGATACCAGATGAAGCAATCAAATACGTTAATGTTTCTCTCATTTGATACAGGTTTGACAATAAAATACTATATTTTGTTGTTTAATTGACCTGTTTGGGGAGTTTTCTAAATACAGGTCAAAATTCAACATTGCCAGGCATTCATAAGTTAAGCGAGCACACTTTTTTTTTTTACAACAATTACAATAAACTCAATTATGCTTTACAAATATAGCTTTTTATGCATAAGATAGTGCACCGAAATTCTACATTTCCAAGATCCTGTTTTCCAGTTTACATATTTGAAACAGTCATAGAAACTGGCAATGGTGAAAACCAAGTAGCACATTTTACTTGTTCAGGCTTCACTTAAGCAGTTCCAGGTGCAAGTTATATTATGACATTGATTTGTGAAAACGCTTGGTTAATACACCAAGGCAACCTTACAATGGAAGATCAAAATTGTTATAAGCATGATAATGTGAACCAATTGTTATCCTTTATGTAAACCATATACACTACCACAGACCATAAATATGATGCAGTATTTCAGCAAGATAGAGGCTCTGCGTATCTCCATGTTTAGAGAGAAGTCTGAGTGGTTTCCATCATAATTAAATTATCTGCTTTCACTGTGCCATAGGATGTGTCTGCCATTTCCTCTTCTTTGAGTTTCTTATAAGAAATATCTGTATCTTCATCTTCATCTAGAGGATCCTGCTTGTGCAATACTTCACTTCCATACATTTTATATATTAAAACAAAAATCCCTGCTTCTGCAGACTGGAAAAGGGCATAAAGCAAGGGAAACATATACATACTTCCTATGAATCGTGGCGGAAAGGCCAGCTTGAGAATGGCAGTACAAAGCTGCACATTCTGACTACCTGTTTCCAGGCATATAGTCCTCCTGCAGTTGGGTGGAAGATGGAAGAGAGTAGCTAAGCCATAGCCTGAGGCGTAGCCTGCCAAAGGCATAAAAATTGCTACCACGTAAACAGCTGCAGGAATACTTGCCAGCAGTTCAGGTCCTAACATAGTGCCGGTCATTATGAATAGGACCACCAGTGTCACTAGCAGAGACCACAGGGAAACCTAATAATAGAAAAATGGATAAACAAGCCATCAAAAATAAGACAGTCAAAGAATTCAGGAAAGAGTCTCCTAGGCTCTTGGAATAAGAGACCCATCTAGTCTGACCGCCCACGCAAAATAGAGAGCTTTGCCATCAAGTCTTTGACGGTATTTTTGAAGATGGGTAGGTCATCTCTTCAGGAGGCACCCAGACCCATGTTGCACAGTTATACTTGTTTAGAGGCCTGTCCTTATATCTAGTGACAACTTGCCTTCTATAACTGTGAGCCATTGCCTTGGATGGGACCTTAGAAGCAACACAGACCAGCTACTCTTCCTGCAAAACAGCCTTCAAAAGTTCACAGAACAGTCATATGGGGAAGGCTATGCTTCTCCAGGTAGATTGTTCTCAGGCTTTCAGCCTCCATCGTAAAACTCTCCTTTGGAATTCTGACTGCTCCGAGCACGGGTTTGTTCTCAGGCTTTCAGCCTCCATCGTAAAACTCTGGAATTCTGACTGCTCCGAGCACGGGCTGAATTTGTGAATGTGCCTCTTAATAACAAAACAGTTAGAACTGAGCCCAATACACCAGGTTTGGTCTGATGAATAGAGTAGACAAATGGACATTTTCCTGAATAGGATCCTATGTTTTCCATAAGAAATTAGTTCTGGTTTTACACATAAGATAACAAGCTATTAAAATTTACGAAACCAACTGTGTGATATTTTAAATATATTTTAAGTATTTTAAAATACTTTATATCTCAGAGAATTGTTAGCAATATCAAAATAATTACTAACCTAGATTATGTAAGAGAAAAAATATAAACATAAGATGTGAGGTATTCGCTGAATTGTGCAACTCTCTCCTTTTTCATCTCTTCATGAGCAATCTCCCACCTGTAAGTCTCTAGTGATGCTTAGGAATTATTATACATAATGGATAGATTTGAGATATAAAATGACTGACCCTGAATAAAAACATTGTGTCACCTTGACGTCTGACTGGTACATTTCATTCATTCAAGTAAGACAGGCTGTGTAAATGGCAAGGTAGAAACCTAAAAATTCCTCCTCATCCTCCTTCAGATTAATAGTTAGCTTGTTTTGTTTGTTTGTTTTGAATGGGAGTTGAGGGGTGTTTGTGAGGGAGACTACAGACCCAGAAGAACAGTTCAAGTGTTGCTTCTGGTTCCCTGGAGACTAAGGAGAAACCCCTTTGGAATCTGTGGGAGTGGCATATACTGTACTTTATAGTCTTTTAAAAATTATTTAAAATTTATCTGGGCTGGTTAAAAAGTCTACCCTAGGGAATGTTAAAATAATTATTATATTAGTTACTCATGCTAGCAATGTACAACTGGCAGAAACCAAACTATTATAAATCAAAATTCTTCTTATATTTAATTTCATAGCGTGCCCACATCGAAAACTTTGACAGAAAATCTGATTTTTCATTGTGAAAATATTGGCTCCAAATTATCCTTTGCACTATTTTAAATCGTTCGGGTGAGTGCTGACATTGAATGCTCATTCTAAAGTGTTTGCAAAAGTATAAAAATGTTATAAAGCATATTTATGAGTGTGCTGGTTAAGGAAGGGGAATAAGTTCAGCTTAAACTCAGCCAATCTTATTGAATTGTCTATTATTTAAATATATTTATCTGTTTTTAGCATGGAAATAGCTTATTTGATTGATTTTTCTCTTAGAATCCTAAGGTTTATAGTAATGCCATCACATTAATAGTATTAGCTTAATGGTTAAGCTTAATATGTTCTTAATGCATCTCAAGGTTATTTATGGATATATTATGTATGTAATATATAAATATATGTATATTTACACATACATGTATATTTATTACATTCAGAATATATATGTTTGTTATGGAGCAGAATTTCTTTTACTCAAGCCTGGATAGAGGTACAGAAAAGAACCCTCTGTTTTTCATATTCATAAAAGTTAGCCCCTCTGTATAATCAGATTACTTTAGAAAATAAATAATATAAATAAAATACAAAAGACTGTCTTATTAAACTACATAACTGAAACACCAGAGTGGCTCTTTTTCTCTTCATGTGTCTAAAGAAATTTGTATGTACATTTTATAGTAATTAGGTCTGTATTTTATTTGACTAACTTAAAATGAGAATCCTGTTCATAGTTTACTCTTATTTATTACTATTTGAGCTTTCAAAGAAAGTTTAATTTACAAATATTTAAATTTTTCCCTCCAGTCACCTATCACAAAATCTCTCCTGCTACAAAAGCATCAGTTTTTAACAATAAAGCAATATTGAAAATATTATACAATAATAGAAATCCCTATCACTTCACTATTTTTAGAAACCATATGAAATATTGCAATGTGGAAAGTAAAAGAAACAAATTTGGTAATGGCAATATATTCTATTATTTATCAAGTACCTAATTTTATTTTGTGCTTTAAAGCCAATATTTTATGCATTCTATTATATCGCCATGATGTGATTTTAAAATTACTTTTGGTCTTATTAGTGTCAACTTATTTTTAGAAAATTAATAAAACATTTTAAAGAAACAGTCTAGTTTCTCAGAATTAGAGTTCCACCTTTAAAAAATAGAATAAAGCGGTTCTAAATTACTGCATTTTATTCTATTAAAATAATTTTAGTTCACCTGCTTTTTTGTTATACATGAGTTGTTAGTGAAATACATGAATTGTTGGTGAAAATGTTTCCATTTTATTGCACTGCCATCTTTTCCCCACAAAATCTGTATCAGTACTATGAGTCCTGGTCATTCTCTTGTACTTTTTACTTAACCTGTGTCTCGATTTAAGCTATAATTTTTAAATTCCAAAAGGTGAAAGTTATCTTTGTAGCATAAACTTTTTAAGTTTATCCACGCAAGGGCTGCCAAGTCCTTGCTTTCCTTACCCCACTTTCCCAAACTTCTTGGCATTTCAGCTGTGGATTAAAGACCACGGACTCTCATGGTCTATCGAGTATGTAAGGGGAAGAGTGACCTTACCTTCACAATGTAGTCAGCCACTCGGTTGTATTTGTAGCGAATGAAGACTCCCAACCCAATTGGGATGAGAGTGCTACAGACAGTCAGGGTGACTGCTCCTAGGGGTAGTAATTGCACCAGAGGGGTGTTGATCCAAGCCCTGCTGTAGATCCACAAACACAGGGGCATCAAGACCAGGGCCAGGAGCGTGGAGGAGATGGTCATGATGATACTGCAGAAAAAGGGAAGACACAGAAGTCAGAATGGGTTTTGAGCCAAAGAGTCTCTCTTGCACATGAGTAACCCTCTATTTTGTACACTGAGTAGAGGGGAAAGAGGGAGACTGCAGGCCCCCCTCCCCTTGAAGTGAGGGGAAAACCTACTTCATCTGAGGGGAGTGACAAGAAAGCAACACTCTAAGGCAAACTGAAACATGAACCCCAGGCAGGAAAGAAAAATATCTTTGCCCTTGGCTGGTTATGAAGCTGGTACAGTCTGGATGATTTTGAGGGCAAGGAGCGTTTTTGTTTTATTTTTTAAACCTCCAAAGCACCCCGTTAGACATGGTAAAGCTGCTGAATACACTACTTGTTGGATTGAACTCAATTATATTGTTCTCTGTATGAGACTGATTACTCTTTATTGGGACCAATGGCCCTATTTTGCTTTTGCATTTCCAGGGCGTCCTAGCTTCAGGCTTCCCAGGTCCCTTTGTCTTCCAGTAGCTAAAGACCTGCACCGACAGCCCACCACTCAGGATGAAACTCCAACACCCTCAGAGCAGCTCCGTCCCTGTCTAGATCTTTCCTCCACAACACTACCTCTTTATGTCTGCCTTGACTTGTAAACCCCGGGCGTCAGCACCTTCCTCCACTTTCCTCTTCCCTCTTCCCTGCCTCATTCCAACCGTCTCTCCCTCCTCTCTCCTCCGTCTTGAACCCAGGCTGTAAACGCGTTGGTTAGCATGAGAAAGATGCCTAAACAAGAGACGGCTCCGTACCTGAGGTTCATGTCGCCGTCAACCAGCAGGGACATGAGATTGGAGAGATTCCCGCCGGGACAACAGCCACATAGGAGCACCGCCACGGCGGCCACCTCGTCCAGCGAGAAGATGAGCGCCAGCAGAAAGGCCAGCAGCGGCAGGAAGCCGAACTGGCAGAGCGCGGCCAGCAGCGCGCCCACCGGCCGCCGGACATGCGCCCCGAAGTGGTTCACGTCCACGGTGCAGCCCAGGCCCAGCATGGTGATGCACAGGGCGGCGCCCACGAACACGTTCAGCCCGTGGCTCAGCGGCGTGTCCCAGAACGGGGGCTCGTGGGGGACCCAGGGCCGAGGGAACGGGGAAGAGCCCCGACTGTCCCAGCCGCTGGCGAAGCTGCTGGTCGTCGGCTCCGGGGTAGGAGCGGGGCCGGGGCTGAAACTGGCGCTGGGACCCGGCCCGAGCCCGAGCCCGGGGCTGGGGCGCGCGCTGGAGGCAGGAGCCACGGGGAAGTCCGGGCCGGGGCTCGGGCTGCTGGCATTGGGCAGCAGCTGGTAGCTGTCCGGCTGCAGTGCGGACGTGGCGAAGGGCAGGGTGGCGTTGTCGAGGGGCAGGGCGGCGCTGGCGACGCCGTCCATGGCGCTGTCGCCAGGAGGCTTCAGGTCGGACTCCAGACCGCGCTGCGGAGTCTGTGCCCTCCCGCCGCGCGCGCCTCCCTTCGTCCTTCCGTCGCCGCCGCTGTCGGCCCGTCTGTCTGTCCCTCGGTCTGTTTCCAAGCCCGGGCTGCGTGTCGCTGACGTCTCCGCGGCGTCGGGTGCAGCAGGTCGGTCCTTGGCTCCGCTCGGGGTTCGGCAGACGCCCGGGGCTGGTACTTAAGAGAGCGCAGCCGGGGAGGGGGAGCCCAATCGCTGCGCCCCCGCGCCGGGCAGGCCCCGCCCCGCCGCCGAGTCCCCTCCTTTTAATCACCAGTAAGTGGTTCTGTTAGAGTGTAGCCAGGGGCGGAACAAAGACCTGACAAAGGACAAGAAGAAAAAAACCGTGCTTGGCTGCTGATCAAGTTCTCTGATGGGCTCTGTCTCTTTGATAATGAAATCTGGAGACCCAGGCACAGAGAGAGGGAGCTAGGGGCAAGGGGAGAGGGATGGCGGCGGGGGAGAGCAAATGCTTATCTGTGTACACGCACGTAGACCACATACGTTGTCCAGCCTGCAACCTTGGATATCAAGAGGGAGGCCTAACTTAATATGAGCAGTTCTCTCTGGTAGGAAGATACACTCACTATCTGGCTTTAATTTGGAGACAATTTTTAAATAAGATTTTCATGTTCAGACTTAAAGTAATTATATTGCTGTTTTTTGAGCCAGGTCTTATGCAAGTGCGTGAGCATTATTTTTTTGGTTCTCACAGCAGAGCCCTGGGAGAGATACCAATAGGTCGATGTTTACGTACAAGGAATCTGAGGCACAGGGAAGTCTCTGTCTCATCAACCAAACCCACAAGTACCTGGCTGAATGTGAACCCTGATATGTCGTTGCAGAGTGCAATAAAGAGCTCGGCTAAGAAAAGGCTCTGTGAAAAATGTGTATTTCGCAAGTTCTTGGCAGACGGGAGGAGGATATTTCAGTGGCCATAGATTTATGAAGTGTTGTGAGTATAGCCCTGGCATTAGGATGAAAGGACTGAAAAGAAATAAAGTGGTGAGCTTTCCTGTATGAGACAGGTGTTATCCCCAAACAAATCAAATTCCGCGTTCTTGGGAATGAGGACTCGATGACTTTATGTCAGTCATCTACAAAGGAAAGAGACTTCTTCGCATACAGAGGAGGTGGAGCCATCTGAGAAGCATCCGGCTGTCTGGAATGGCCATAAAGCCATAGCCAGTTGAGTTGTGAAAGCCAACGTGGGAATTCCTAGGGTGAAGTCAAGGATTAGTCTTAGCCCAGGGTCTGTCTGTGTGGAGCTAAGATCCTAGACTGAATTCTCCCTCCTGAGGATTTGTCCCTTCCTCTTCTTCTGACACCAGAGGAGAGTGGGTGACTTCTACTTCTCAATGATGGACTGAGCCCATGTGTTGATATTTTCTCCTCCCCCGATCTCATGAAAATGATAGAGAATATGAAAAGTAAAACTAAATTCACAGCATATTGCATTCTTAATCACCATTAAATTTATTTCTTCTCCATTAGAATATAATTTCCATGGGGGAAGTATTTAAGAAATAACGTACTCTCACACTTTCTCAAAACATTAAGCCCAAGAAAACAATGCAGTAACATCTATAGGGCTTTGAAGAAAGTAGGATGTGACCAAAAATATTCTAAGTTTTCCTTTAGGCTTATGTAAGCAAAGACACATTCAGATACACAAGGAATCATGCTACCCAAATACTTTCGTTAAGTGAGTATATCCAGGGGAGATATGTGGAGAAACAGATGAAATAAGGAGGAGGCACTGCTGAGCCACAGGATAAGAACACGAACGGCAGAGGATCAGCCGAAGCCCCATCTCTGCAGGCACCACTCCTATTTGTCCCCGCCTTTTGTTGATGGTACTAAAATCCACAATCAAATTAAATGAGCAGTAATTAGAGGCAGACCAAACCATCCAACTAGCTTCTCTTGAGGTTCGAAGAGAGGTTTGGAAGGTGTTTTGTGCAATGGGTGAAGAACTGAAAGCAGAAAGAGATGGACTTGGGTTTGTAAATTGGCAGGATCACTAAACTTGCAGTTATGAGGGCTTCTTGGGGTCGGCAGCCCTGTTGTCTCTCCAGCTGATGTGATTATTGTCAGTGTGAAGAAAGCAGGTGTTATTGCCTGCCCTCTTCTTTCTGATCTCCTTCACTATATAGGGGAAAACCCCAGGATTCAGAAACAGAGCTCATTCTCAGGTGTGGCGATGTTGGTGAACTGCCTGAGTCACTGAGCTTCCTCCATTGTTTTACCTTTACTCTTGCTGCTACCAAGGAATCTGGCCCACCCAGAGGCGAGACAACAACTTAGCACTCAGATAATATGCTATTTGGAGAAAAATTAATCTAGAGCCTTGTTGGGCACCATATACCAAATCTAATTCCAGAGCTACATTGAATGCTTACTATGTACTGGATAATCTTCTAAGCTTTTAGTAATGGATCATCTCATTTAATCTTTACAATAGGCTTAAGGAGGTTAGAAATTTGCCCAGTCACCTCCTAGTAGGGATAGAGCCAGCATTCGAACCCAAGCTTTTAAATCCAAAGCCTGTATTCCTAAATCAGATTCAAAGTGATTAAATAAATTAGAGTTCACTAATACAGGAGACTGCTATGCAGATGCTAAGTATAATGTTTATAACCACAATTCTTCATCTAGAGTCCATGGATGAAATTGAGAACATCCTGGAATGATGTATCAACTTTTCTGTATGTGTACATTTTTTTTTTTTCAAGAAGTGAGTCCATGGTTTTTCTCAGGTTTCTAAGAAGGTCTAAGATCTATTTAGAGGAATATTTAATGACAAGGGGAAATTCCTGTGATAAAATCTTAATAAAACAAGTTAAAAAGCTATAAACATATTCAGTAAATTTATTAAATTTATACATATTTAAAGGGAATTTCCCAGTGTATATTCAATCCGAGTGGTGGTATTAAAAGTGATTTTTATTTTATTTTTCATATTTTACCGTGTCTTCCAAATTTCTGCCATAAATATATTTTATAATCAGAAAAATATAAATGTTGTTTTTTAAAGTATAAAATCCAGAGGAATATTTGGCATGAAAGTCTGAATACTTTAAGACTGTGAGGGCCTAGATAGTGGCTCACAGTGTATTCAAGACACGTTAAAACCTGCCCAGGAATGTCTGGGTGGGTTGATGGACTGGGCAGGCAGAGGTCATATTCATGGAAGCCTTACTGATAGAGTTGCCAGATGTATCAAAGAAAAATACAGGATACCTAGCGAATTATGAATTTTGAATCAACAACAAATAAAGTTTTTAGAAGAAAGATGTTCCAAATGTTTCATCTGGCAACCTTACCTGGAGAAAGACGATGATTAGAGAACTGAATCGGAGTGGTGGCCCCAGGGCTGAAATCTCCACACGGTTGGGAATTTACCAGATGGGAAAAGAGGAGGTGCATAGCTTGGGTTAGGAATGCCACCTGGGGATCTGTGAAGGCGACAGTGAGGCCCCACTTTCCCTGAGGAACTTGGCCTAGTGGAAGAGACAGCCGAGGTTCCAAGTTCAATATATTTTGCAGCTGAATTACAGTTTCATATGAGTTGAAGGAAGACATTGATATAAACAAAGACTATAGCAGCAGCAATTTGGGAGTGAGGTGGATGTAAACTGGACACTAACAGAAGTGGCCACGGCTCTAAAGCAAACTGGGAAGCCAAGGAAGTGGACCATGGGGAGGACCAAAGGACAGAAAGGACTCCAAGGTGTCCAAGTGGAGGAAGACGTTTATGAACACTGCAGCCCCACACGAAACACCTCAGGTCCCTGCAGTTGCCCCACTGTAGAGTCTCAGCTGCCTTGCTCCTCAGCGCTCCTCCCCTATTCTCCTGGGAAATGGACCCTCTTTTGTCGGGGAGGGGGCGGCGAGATGGATTGCACCTTCACAGCTCTTAGCATAAAGTCCAAATGGAAGTCATTCCCTTCCTAAAGGACCTTACCTCTGAGTTGTCTGTGACTAGTTGAGAGATTGGCCCCCAAACCCATCTTAATAGAGATCAGAGTCATCCTGGGCGGGGGCTAAGTTTTATGTCAGCTTCTGAAAAGAAATTCACATACAGGCAAAATTATCCTTGAAAATCCTTTAAACACCCATAATAGTATAATTAATTATCTTTTCATGATGGCCATGACATCTCCCCTCCCCCCACCCCACCCCCCTCCGCTCCAGTATTGGGACCAATGGCTGTTTCTTTAGCCAAGTATCAGATTGAAGTGGCCAGGTTGCATTTGGGGGACGTGTTAAATTAAATTACTCCCTGGACATTTGCCCCAGGGTCTCGGGTCATGACAAGCACTGGGAGCTGAGACTGGCCTTGGGAAGAGCAGAGTCACAGCTCTGGGCTCACACGGTACTCACTGTCCTAATGGCTGGCAGCATCACTCACCAATATCCATCATCTCTTTCTTGCTTTCCCCCGGCCCCAATTTAACTCTTACAAGTGAATTTGTGAAAGTTAAACTGTGTATATGATGTGACTCCAGTAACCATTATCTAGACCCAGTGACTGATCCAGGGAGTGGAGAATGATCCCACCTAGGCCAATTAGAGTCCTTCCCTGTGACTTTTTTTAAAATATATTTAAATTTAATGAGAGCCATGGAGAAAAGCCCTTTCTTCTCTTCTCAAGAAGTTGGGAAGTTGTGAGCCCAGAAACTGATACTAAACATGGTTCCATTTTATGAAATTGCCCAGCCTGGGAGAATGAAGCCAAACATAGAAGCCCAAATAAAGCAGCGGAGAGGTGAAGAGAGGAAATGCAGACAGCACCACCTCCCTGTTCTGGGCCTTCCTCTTATTTTCCTGGATATGTGAGCTGATATAGTTTCCCTTTAGCCAAACTAGTTTAAGTTACAACCAAAGGAGTCCCTAATAATAAGACCCTTATCACTAAGTGGGAAAAAACTGAGAATTAGTTATCTAGTAATTTTACAGGTGGAGATTGGGAGTCAAAGTCTATTGTTTTGTTAGTGTCACACATTCCTGGATTGCAGTCCCAAGGTCGTATGGCCAGGGGAAGAGTGGGCTACATTAAGTGTTACACAAAATAATCAGTTAACAGGTTAACCTATCATCAAGGTACAGCCAGGTTTTCATATCTGGAAACGATCTTACTGTTACTGAATACAGATAAAGTGCCTCATAATTAACCTAGCTCCTGTGTTGAAATGATCTTAGTACCTCAAAGTTGGTATGTGTGCAGCTG